GGCCAGTCACTCGTTCAAGGAGTCCTACCGTCTGTGAAATGATTAAAAGAATAAAGGAAAACCTCAACACCCGTATAAGTGTATAAGAGGAACGGATGAAAATCATGAATTTCAGAGACACAGCGACACAGACTTCTCGTCACTGCCCCCAGAAGGATCTGGCCGAGGGGTACTGTCATCTCCTGAATATGAATCTCGTGCTTTGTGGTTCATTCTTAAACTAAAAGGCACGTGGTCCCCAATATTTGTAAGTAAATTTGTTGTTGACGAAGATTGCAGTTTCTTATGACTACAGCCAAGGAATTTCCAGTTCCTCGTTTGATCGTTGACCAACGGGCGACTAAACACTGATGTGAGGGGGAACAGAGTGTGGGGACGCAATTGGTCTGCCTCTTCCTAAAGGCGGATAAGGAAACTTGTTTCCCGCCAAAGTTATATTCTCTAGTTTCTATTTTTCCTCAAGCGCAACCGCTGAATGCACGTCTCCCAGATTACAACATTTCGGCCACGGAGCTAACACAGCAGCAGTAGATTGCGCCTGGTTAGACAGGGTCAACTGTAACTCCTCAGATATCGCAAGGAAAGGACTACAGATCTCCATTCTATGGTCACCACACTAGAATCGTGCCAAAGGACAACATGACTTGTTACATGTCTTGCCTACCTCATCACTGTTGCTCTAACCATACCAACGTCATTGGAATGGAAAAAGTTCTGTTATGATTCTGTTAACCGTCTTGCTGAGATACAGTCGCACACTGCTGATTGCAATGTATGTTTCAGTCGTAGCTAACGAGCCTAACCAGGTCTCGGGAAGCTCAAACTCTAGATAGCTAATGGACCGCAGAAAAGAAGTGAATTGCTATCGTTATTGCAGTTGTAAGAACGAAACCCAGAGAGAATATTAATCTCATGTTCTGAGGATCAATAGACGGAACTGTTCGGGCAGATGAGAAGGCTTGCAGTCAGCAATGAAAGGAAGAGCGGTGAAACATACTTCGATGCGACAAGAGATATGGTAGTGTACCACAGGTCGTCTACTATTGAGCCACTTACAACTTGAAATCGCAAATGGGTCATCTTGACATACTTTGGTCCACGGATTAAAACAGTCACTAAGGTATTCCGAAATACCGACTTGAAAGTGACATTTAAAAATAAAAATACGATAAAACACCAGGTAACAGTGAAAGAAAGAACAATTGATGTTTATAATCTGAGTGGAGTGTATCAAATGCTGTGCAAAGTGTCCCCTTAAATATGTACGGCAGATGGACCGCACGTTTAGAATCAGATATAGCGAGCACATTAGAGACATACAATCAAATGGCAAAAGTTCAAAATTATCCAGCAAATAATCGATACGACGCATAACTACGATAGTATGAAAAAAAATCAATGAAAGTATTGCACGTGGAAAAAAAAAAAGGCCAAATGCTGGATACATCGGAGAATTACGTGTACTAAGTTACTTACTGTAACTAACCAAGGATTACAAATGGATGAAACCTCGAACAACACGTATAACCCCACATATGAATTCTTAACAAAAGCGAATTCTAATATTCAAAACCCGACCTTTTCCAGAAATCTCTACCAGTCACCACACCTCCCCACCCTTGTCCACATCCCACCCACTCCACCCCCTAATATTTTCCCTTCCCCTGAACACCCCATCCTTCCACTTCCGTTACCCTCATTCTGGGACAATAGCTAGGAACCTTAAATGAAGTAGCTTACTGTAATATGAGCCACGCAGGGCAACGAACTGCATAAAGTAAACAGCACACATTAACCGTAAGTAGTAGAGAAACATTGTAAAGGAATTAATATTCAAAACCTATTATAAATATAAAATACAACTTATTATTATTATTATTGGAAGGGGTGGGTTTCCCCATGCACCGCGACTAGTAGTCTATTGTACGTCCCCTTTGATGTTCTACGAGACTCTATACCCTACCGGTACTGGTGCGTGCCATCAGCCCCGACTCAGCCAGCGAGTTCGGCCTCTACTGGCTCAGCGGTACCTGATGCTTCCCCCATCTACCAGAGGCGTTAGAGACTCTTGTTGGGCGGTAAATGTCCGATAATTTGGCTCAGAGGCCTCTTGAGACATGAGGTTAAAAAAATCCACGACCTCCATCGGGTTTGAACCCGCGACCTTCCGGCTTGTGGCATAGTGCCTNAATGTCCGATAATTTGGCTCAGAGGCCTCTTGAGACATGAGGTTAAAAAAATCCACGACCTCCATCGGGTTTGAACCCGCGTACCACGAGTCATGANACATTGTAAAGGAATTAATATTCAAAACCTATTATAAACATAAACTGCAACATAACATATCACTATTAATACACGTAAAAACCACTGTAGGCTGGCTCCCGACAACATGAAAGAAGAGGAATCGATTGTCTAGGAAAACGGTAACACTACGATACTAACACGGCGAGCCAGTACAGCTAACAGTAGAAAAAGCCTGACGAAGCCTCTGCGTGGTCTACTGCAGTAACAAACATAAAGCTACTCGCAGCTTATAACAGTTTGAAAGAAAATTTTAAAACATTTTAAATATCAAATTGTGGATTTATGATCACCTAATTATTAAATAAGGTTTAACTTATTGTTATATGTAAGATTTGAACAAATGTATGATTTTTATTCTTACGAGTACTTTATTGTATTCTATTGTTAATTTTAACCGAAGTCTAGTCTAAATTTATGTCTAGTTTATGAATTCAACAGGAACTAACTTGTACGAACCATTTATAAAAATGGGAATATTAGCGGTCAGTTTAGTAATAACGTGAGAAATTTGCAGCACCTGAAGATGACACATTTGAAGTAGAAAATTGTAGTGCAAGCTATATAAATAAATAAAAAAGAAATAATAAATTATTGTTGTGTTGATGGTAAAAATTATATATGTTCATTGTATATACGCAACAGGATGCAATCCTTAAAAAAATAAAAAATAAAAATAGTATCAAAACTTGTTGCTCAGAAAAGCAGAAGCCACTCAGCTGGTGAGAACCTGACAATGCCAGCATGTAAAATTATGTTGGGTAAAATGCGGGGATAAGATGCAGCACGAGAAACTGAACATGTTCTACTTTCAAACAATACGATAAACAGATGTACCGATGATGTCACATGATGCTGAAGAGGATTTTCCTGAAAGTTAACAGTTTCTCTATCCAGGTTAATGAGTAAACAGATTTCACCAATAAAAGCTATGTTGTAGCATTTGTAAGACTTGTAAATAATGGTGAAATTCAAGAAACCTTTTTCTGTTGAAAAGAGCTGTCCGAAACAAGTAAAGAGCAAGATATATTTAATGTCTTGCCTTCATATCTAGAAACAAAATTCTGTCGTGGGAGAACTGTGTAGGCATCTGTACTGATGGCTCCATTAGAGGCTTCGCGTCTCTTAAAAGAAAAGAAAATCCTGACGTCACAACACATTGCTTTGTTCAAAGAGAGGTGCTGGTTTCAAAAACTCTTGGAGATGAAATAAAAAAAAGTTTTGGATGATGCTACAAAAATGGTTAACTTCACAAGTAAAGAACAGCACACTTCAGAATGTTTAAACAAAATTTGTGAAAGCCTGGGCAAAAGGCACACAAATCTGCTACATACAGAAATCTGGTGGCTTAGCAGAGTAATACTTCTCAACGGTGTCTGAGCTAAATGGTGAATTGCGTGATTACTTTCAAGAAAACATTAGGCCAGATTTTGCAAAATGCTTTGAAGATGAAATATGACCAGAGAAATGTGCCTTTATACAAACCAGATGAACAAGTCCCTGCAAGAACCCAGAGAAAATGTTTTGACTTCAAAGTGAAAAGCTTCTTGGATTTATAAAGAAACTTAATATCTGGAAAAACCATGTTGTGAAAGGAAATCTTGAAATGTTTCCACTGCTGCGGGGGCTTGAGAGTGAAGCAGGATGTCAGCAAGTGTCGAGTCTTATTGAAAACCACGCTGAAGAGCCGCGGAACAAAATTGAACAATATTTTCCCCCCGTTTTGTTCCGCGGCTCTTCAACGTGGTTTTCAATAAGACTCGACACTTGCTGACATCCTGCTTCACTCTCAAGCCCCAGCAGCAGTGGAAACATTTCAAGATTTCCTTTCACAACATGGTTTTTCCAGATATTAAGTTTCTTTATAAATCCAAGAAGCTTTTCACTTTGAAGACAAAACATTTTCTCTGGGTTCTTGCAGGGACTTGTTCATCTGGTTTGTATAAAGGCACATTTCTCTGGTCATATTTCATCTTCAAAGCATTTTGCAAAATCTGGCCTAATGTTTTCTTGAAAGTAATCACGCAATTCACCATTTAGCTCAGACACCGTTGAGAAGTATTACTCTGCTAAGCCACCAGATTTCTGTATGTAGCAGGAGATTTGTGTGCCGTTTGCCCAGGCTTTCACGCAATTTTTTTAAACATTCTGAAGTGTACTGTTCTTTATTTGTGAAGTCAACCATTTTTGTAGCATCATCCAAAACCAGCTTAATGGAGGAACTGTTGAGCCACAGAGGCTTCGGGGCACGCGCGCAACGTGAGTTGCAGATTGTATTGGCGCGTTGCTAGGCGACAACTCTGAGAACGCTTGGATAGCATGACAATATATACCCAGTATCATGATGTCTGGTATAGGCGTTCAAGCAATATTAAGCTTTTTTCTCAGAAATCTGAGAAGATTCAATGTTGGTTTTAGTGACGAGAGGGATTTAAGAAGTGAGCTATCGAGATAGGCTCAGATGTCATGATATACAAAGTTTCGTATGGCTTGGTTCAAGCATTCAAATTCATTAGGGGTGTTACTCATACAGACGCAGAGATAGCAAAGTAATCTCGTAAGTATACTTCCATTATTTTCAAAATAAAGAAGTAAGCTAAAGATACGCCTGGATATCCTGTCTCTCAAACGTTCCTTCCGTACAAACATCTGGAAGAAGTATGCAAGTTGCGAAGTGCTGGCAGTAATTTGCTTACCGAAATGAGGGGGTTGTTGTCCACATCGCTGAAGTTGACGGGCACAGTGATGGTCGGATCGGAGAAGCACAGGCTGTAGTTAGTCCATGTGGTGTTGCTCTGGTCTCTGAACCACTCTCCCTTGGGCAGACAAAGCTTCGATGCGTTCGCCTGCACAACAAACCAACAAAATATTACCTTACTAACCAGGCAGGGGCCGCGCCATACCCCAAGCGGTTAGTCGCTGGCTTCCCATCGCGGCGGTCCGGGTTCGACCCCGGGTCTGATCAAGTGGGACTTGTGGTGGACAAAGTGGCGCTGGGGCAGGTTTTCTCCGAGTACTTCGGTTTCCTCTGCCAATCTTCATTCCACCAATTGCTCCACAATCACCCTCACCTATCATCTGGGGCTGGTACATAGGCCAGAAGTGGCCGCAGTACAAGGGACTTTAGTCCCACCCCACTAGCAATAAAAAAAATACCAACCAGGCTGATTCTTAATTCAGAATCTGATATCAGCTCAGCTGGTCAAAGATTTCCGTACCCTTTATGGAACCATATGGTTCAGTGCCGTGTTTACAAGAGCAGCCCGCCACTAGTATCTATCCTGACCCTTATGAGCCTGGCCCACAGAGCCACGCACTACTTTTGCAGTGACAAGTAAACCTCTTCTCCCTGTAACCAGGCAAGTGCTGGATTAGAGACCAAGCTCCAGATTTAAATACGGAGGAAGTGATTATGTGCTACCTGCTTACTGCTATCGGATACTTCCGGGGGCTCTGATAGTGTGTATGAGGCAATGATGGCATGGCGATTAGCCATAGCTGCTCGAGCGCCATTTCTTGCACTACAAGTGTCACACGAAGTCACCCCAGGACCGACCTCGTGTTGTCCGCTCTGTAAGGGCAGTGCCTGAGCTACAACACGGCTTATACTGTAATATCCATCAGAACTAAATGACAGATTCGATATTGTGAAGAAAAAAATCTTATTTTCTCGCTGGAAAAATAGGGACAGCCTTATATTCCGGCTTGTATGGTAAAAAAGGCTAATTCTACAAATTTATAAGTTCTCCTGTTAATTCTCCATCCTGGATCCAAAGCAGCAACTTCTTCTGGAACACCTCAGCTGACAAATTATGCGATTTCTACAAGAACTAGCCTTCCAAGTCTTTAAAAGAAACCTACTTTTATGACCGCCCTCTGTGCTTGTTTAGTTCGTAGGAGCCGATTTCGCAAAGAATATGTTTGACAGAAATCAATAAAAGCTATCAATTCTGAGCAGAACAGAACAATTACATAGCACCAAAAGAAAGGCGATTGGAGTACAAACCGATCAATCATTCACTCATGGCATGTAATTGCCCTGCGTTCGTATAGGTGAGCGGCTTTATTGCGAATCAGTCACACACGAGACGTATCCTGAACTCAGTATCGTCTCCCCATGAGGGCAAGGAGGGAGGGGAATGATATATCCCCCGGAGGCGATGCTGCGATATTCTTATTAATAAGTTCCTTGATAAACTTCTGCCTTCACACTGGCATAAAAATAACAATTCGACCAAAATGAAATTGTCGGATTTGAGTTCTCAGATATGTGACCATGAGGAGCATTATTTTCTGGGTCTGTGACGCCACGTACTCCAGTAGAACTTCACCTCTGTTTCAGAGGAACATACTATTGTAATCATCATGGTTGAAAAGTAAGCCACGCAAGTAACCAAGAAGAAACATGTGGCTAGCAGCTTGGCTTCTTCTGCCACCCTTAAGATGGAGGCTTGTATTCCTCCAAAATTTCGGTGAATTTATACCGTGCGTTTACGCGTTACGTCCCAGAAAATTAGAAAGTTTAAGACTTCACAACAAATTTAACTTATATCAATTACCAACTGTGCATAAAAGCCGAATGTAACCCTCTCGAGTTTCAATTTAAAGGGCTTTCTGATCATTTATAATACTGATCAGCATTCAGGTATCTTGCCCGAATTAATGAGAAAAATCTATTATTATTTCTTGGCATAGCTATAAATTTGTTCAGCTCTGATAACTGAAAGATATGCAACCATTTTTAGCTACTCCATTCTTCTCTCGAGGTCAATCGGATCAAGGTCATTTCGAAACAGCTTTAACCAACCACCGAAAAAAGAAAATTCATTCCTATAGAGACGAAATGCCTCAGTAGATTATGACCGCCCCACGCGTTGGGCGCCACTTACCCTCCTCTGTAACCGCTCTCTCTGTCTAGTGCCCTTTACGTTGGGTGTCACCTTCTTGTTGTCGCCGTCCCCCTTTACCTTCCTGTTCCTTCACCTGGCTTCCGCCTGCAGCGGCTGTTGCTGATGCTCTTTGCCAAAGGAACACAGGTGAATTTTCTTACCTCAGAAGGTAGAGATGAGACTATCTCAGGATCTTTTGTACGGGCCTCGCTCAGACAGGGAGGCAGAAGCGTCTAATGATACACTTGCACTTTGCATGTGAGTATAATTTATTCTTTGTGAAGAAAGTGTAAAACAAAACACAGTTCACATACACAGCAATACACCAGGCGCTGACACTGCCAAAAACTTACAACTGTTCCTAGCTGAACCACCACTTTTTTTTTTTTGAAGACTATTCGAAGACTATTTGATGCCTGTTTGAAGAGTATTTGAAGACTATTTGATGCCTGTTTGATGAGTTTTTGAAGACTGACTTGATGACTGACTGAAGACTCTTTGAAGACTATTTTTCTGAAGAGATGTGAGCCTTTCCAGTTTTCGCGAAGTTCCCAAGTCACACCCTCGACTTTTGAGGATTGGTCAGATTTGAAATAAGGGAGTTGACTCTGAATCCGCTACTTCCAATCATTTTTACTCTAGAGGCAATTTTTTTCTTTAATGACCTAACGTAACTTTTGAAAGGTAATGATGTATGCTGGCCATAGCGTCCCCTCCTGGCACGCCTTCGTGTGACTTAAGACTAGCAGAAACTGTCAAGAGTCAAATTTCCAAAGTGAGTCGCCGAGCGACTCTGGAACCAAAATTCCAAGAACTGCTGAACTAAATCACCAGGGGGCCATCTGGAGTTTTTGTGTGTGTGGTCCATCTGTGAAACAGGCAGCTTCGTGTGTGCAAGAGGTGGGCTATGTCACACTCTGCGTACACACTCTGCGTAATTATTATAAAATATTGAGAATAACTCTCAATAAAATACCATTTAGGCTTGTGGGCGGTTATAAGATATGACGACGGAACTGCGGGCTGGGCAACCCACAAGTAGGGGTCCATTTCCTGCAGAGACAAGAAACTTCTCTCTTCTTAACTGCGTTCAGACCGGCTATGGGAACTGCCTGGCACCTTAGCCAACTAATACCGACGACACCTTACCCGGGCGTAAACCTGTCGGGACGAGAAACTGATCATCTTCTTCTAATGACTGGATTAAAAATGTGTGGCGTTATACTTCCACTCCGCCATAACATCTTGATGACGTGGTGATTAATTAAGCACAGGGACCACTATGGGGGCACGCAGTAGCGCAGCTGGTTGAGGCACTATGCTACAAGCCGGAAGGTCGCGGGTTCGAGTCCCGATGAGGTCACTGGATTTTCCAATTGACCTTCTTCTTCCAGTCGCGCTATGGCCCGGAGGTGGACTCAGCCTCTAACAGAAATGAATACCAAGAATTTTTCGGGGGATTAAGGGCGGCCGGCGCAGAATTCTGACAACCTCAGCGCCAACTGTGAGATGACTGTCTAGAGAAAATGTGGGAGCCTCGACGTCTCACAACCCTATGGGCCTTCATGGCCTGTTACGGGGATAACTTTAGCTTTTTAGAGGAAGCACTTCACTGTTAACATATTTAATGCTGTTCTTGAGCTAAGAAACTTGTGATACCTGGTGATCGAAGCCAGCGAAGTACTCGGCACAGGGCTGCTCGTGCACTCTACCCGCCGGGGTGGGAGGCCAGCACATGATTCCATCCCACACTTGGGGACACAGCAACCCCAAACCTGCAGACAGGAAACACAGGTGTAGCGGAGAACGTAATCAGGTGAACTGTGCTCTGGTTTCTTAATTTTATCAGTTTCATAAACTTAAGCATGTTTTAATACTGATGTGCCATTTAAAATGAAACCCAAATAGCAGTCACGTACTACATACAGAAATTAAATCAGAATCTGTTTCGAAGTAAATTAGTGCCTCCATCTTCAGGGCATATACAAAAATTTGGTATAGGTTCCATATATCAGAACATTCCAATTTTAAATTTCACTGTCGAGGAAACACGAAATCTCCTCTAAATCCACTGCACTCTCCTTGAGGATGATACAGGAAGACTAGAAGTTGCATGGAGAGTAGTTTATACAAAATTTGTATTCCTCTTGTGTCCTGCCATGTTTTTGCCTTAGTGTTCTGATTCTGCCTCGCACCTTGAGGATGTCCTGCGTCAGAGCATGTGGAACTTCGGGGTACCTAAACCGCATTTCCGATATTACGTGCTGCGACAGCACGCAGCTGCTTGTAACCAAAAGATGGCAGAATTGATCAGGTTATTGAAATACTTGTATCAGATCTTGTTATAAAGTGTATTGGTCCCAAACCGTTAACTGAATCACACAAACGGAGCACGTCTCGTGAAGTCAAGTTCCTCTAACCGTGAAATAATTCCCTTCCAACTCACTGAAGCCCACGTAAGAAGTAGGGCCGGGGCCTAACAGCCACGCAGATCCGGTAACACCAGACAGCACAGCTCAATAGTAAATTCGGGGTTAGCTGAGCCTACTCGGTTACATAAAAATAATGATAAGATTTCATATGGACCTTCAGCTGGAAGTGTTTGGAACATTGTACTGAGAGCAAACTCGCCGAAAACAGACATTATATTCTATATGTGATGGTGTGGAGCTCATTAAAGCGTATACATGAACTGACTGTTCTTTATTTAACACAATGAAATTTGAAGAATGCCGTCTTCTGGGATATGCCGCCGTGTAGATCTTAAAACGGCATTCTTCATAGTCACCACAGTGAAAACTTCAAATCTTATGAAATGAAACTTAGTAATATAATTTACTGAAGGAGGGTTGCAAAATACACAAATTCAAGCTACTACGTGGTCTATGTTAAGAGAATTTATGGCCCTAATATGGGCCCTTGTCGAACTTTCTGCGTTGCATCACGTTCTAAATTAACACTTGCACTTCTCACATTCCCTGCGCAACTTCAAATTCACACTTCAGAAGCCCTATTATTCGAACAATACCTGTTTCGGCCCTATTGACCACAATCAGATGTACAAGTGTAGAGGGATCTGCTGCCCCTTTCACGCTGCTACACTTACGGTAGGTGTATATATTTATTTAAAGTTTAGGGCCGTGCCATAGCTCAAGCGGTTAGTCGCTGGCTTCCCAACGCGGCGGCCCGGGTTCGATCCCCGCTCTGGTCAAGTGGGATTTGTGGTGGACAAAGTGGCACTGGTACTTCTGTTTCCCCTGCCAATCTTCATTCCACCAATTGCTCCACAATCATCCTCACCTATCATGTGGGGCTGGTACAATAGGCCAGAAGTGGCCGCAGTACAAGGGACTTAGTCCCACCCCACCAGCAATAAAAAAATACTTAAAGTTTGCGTTAAATTATTCGCTCATTCATATGCAGGTACGTTCATCCAGTTAATTAATGGTCTAACGGGTGTATTTGGTTTGTGTGATTTTATTGTGCCGCGTAGGTTTGAGGGTTTTCATGTTTGTATATAGCCATACAGTTACTTTTTGTAAGATGTTGTTACATTGTTTTTGTGTTTGTTTTATGGTTTTTGGTAGTTCATTGTTGGGTTATTGTTGATTTCTGTGAATTTGTTATCATGTATGAAGCTATTTGCTCTATGTTTGTAATCCTGTTACGCAAGTGTTTGTTATGGTAAGTTTATTTGTTGATACTTTGTTTTTTATGTCTGTTATTAGTTTCCATTCTTTTTTGTTCTTTTTATTGTTTATGTTATTTGTATGCCCTTGGGTGATTTTATGATGATTTTCCCTACTACGTGTCTATAATGCGATTGTTCTTTTGTATGCGGTTACATATTGCGGTTCTGCTTCTTGACCCAATCTTTCCATTTATAATGCAAACTATGCTTTGAACCGTCATCCAGAAGAACGTACTTTGGGGCGAAGATGCGAACCAGATTATCTCCTGGGCACGAGCCATATGAGTTTGCGCCATGCTAATTTGCTTGGTACGCGATGATGCATTCTTACAGCCCAAAGAATGGCTCTATTATGCACGGACATAAGCGAGCTCTGGCTGTAGACATCTCAGATGACTGGTACCAGAGAGGCAAGGCTTCACGGAATTCCATCGGTTGGAATTCAAGATGGAATGTGGGGGTAGATTCTAGCTTTTGGTTTATAACGCGAGTCATCAAGCTGCTGATATCTTCAAAGAGGAGTAGGTTGTCTGTGGAGGGTATGTCAGATTCTGTACTCGTGTTTCAAGACTGTACACTTTAACACTTCTGTTACACACCCAGCCTCTTGTCCAGCTTCACTTACTTATACACTGAAAATGGGAGCGGTATGTTCTTTCAAGCTTCGGTACGAATCTACCAGACCAGACGGTGTCATAACCGAAAAGACGATGCGAATCTGCACTGCCCAAACGAAAAGGTTAGTACAGCGGTAATGATGTTGCCTGATATTCGGGAAGTGCCCAATTCGAATGTCGGTAAGGATACCGGATACCTTGATTGAGGTTCTTCGTTTCTTTCCTCAGTCCACCCAGCCAAGGTCTGGGATAGTACCTCGATTAGGCCACGACCGCTGCCTTCCAAGTTATTTCCAATTCATCACCTTACCATTCGACGCGACGAAATAAGTCACCGGAGAGAAAACTTGTAACCGCAACGTTATAATATGTTAAGACTGAGACCTACTACCAAAACGAAGAATAACAGTAAAATGTTCCCTTTGGCTGAAAATGAAAAGGCGTGGGGTAAAAGAGAGGAGTTACGCTTTAGGGCGGACCTCTGGCAATGACAGCTAGTCAGGCCCACTTCCAGGTAATAGAAGTTGATGCCAAGCAGCGCAAGGAAGCTATGCTCCAAACGACACAAAAATCAATCCAGAAGTAGTCTGTACGTTTCTTTATACAAGTCAAAGAACCGATCTGACCGAAGGCTGTAGTAATCAAGTCACGTAAATATACTTGGTTCCTCTTTTGCTCGAAGCTGGACACGAATTTGTTGTACAAGAAACGATTGAAAAAAAAATGTAATTCCGTATGTTATTATCCGAACGTGGTCTTATAGTGACATTCGCATGCTACAGCTGACGTCACAATAGAAGCGTATGCATTTCCTCTCACTGTTCCATCACAATGGGGCTCTTGATTGAATCTGCTCTACAAGAGAGCTGAGACGGACTGGCCCTTGCGCCGGTGGTACAATTCTTCATCAGAAGCCATGGGAGTAGATCCCCGCGCAGCGAAACCAGTAGCGAAACCTCAGCTGTTTGCTGTGTGCCCAGTGATACACTGGCTGGAAAGCACTTCACACAGTAGGCTAAGAAGTTGTAAGAGGATGTTGCAGACGTTCTCACAAACAGTTCTGTGTTTCTTCTTTAATTCGTGAGGAGGCGTGAGGACGAGTCCACTCGGTGCGTCGGTTACTCGTGGACCTGTTGTACGTTCCCTGGATGATGGATGATTATGGAGCGATCTGTAGGATAAAAATTGGCAGGGGAAGCCGAAGTACTTGGAGAAAACATACTCCACTGCTTCTTTATCCACCATAAATCCCACATGACGCTGCATAATCTGAGCTACTGACAGTGTCGTTAAATGTGCTACAAATACATGCACCTAACGTTTATCGATTTATTAGTTTGTGGGTCATATAATGATGCTAGATTCTATAACGTCTACTGGATGGATGACAGATGAATGATGAATTTGGAAGGATCTGAAAGGGGTGATCGTATCATAATTAAGTTACTACCAGTTATTTGCCTGGACGGTCTGAGGAAAGCCACAGAAACCTCAGTCAGAAGAGTAGGTGTCCCCACCGAGATTTAAATTGAGCACATCCGAAATATAGGCCCAGGGCCTTTGGGTGTCATCCGTTAGTTTCCGCGGGTAATACACGAGCGTGATGCATGGCGGTCCTTCCGCATTAAAGGAAGCTGTACGATTGATGTAGGCCATGAATAGAATGCTTCGGCCGGAAATTTTGATGCATTGCAGTGTTGAGTTGCAACAATCTTATTTCCACAGAAGAGCTACATTCCGTTTTGAACACAGCGCAATAATAATAACGAGACGTGACAGAGGCTGAGCACGCAAAAACCTTAATGCGCACCAACAACCACCGGCAGTGTTACGTGGCATGCACTCTAGTAACTTCTGGACGTGGTAAGGAAGGTGGTAACATTACAGTCACAGCAATATCCGTCGGATACTAGCTGAGTAAAGTGAGTTACAGCCGGTCACGGTAGCCGAGCGGTCTAAGGCATGTACTGTCTTCGCTCGCTTGGAAACTGGGATCGTTGGCTCGAATCCCACTCAGGGCATGGATGTTTAGTTTATATGTGTGCGTTTTTCTGTGTTTGTGTACAGGTAGAGGCCTTGCGACGAGCTGATCACCTTCCCAAGGAGTCGTACTGAATGCGTAAGATCTAGAAAAACCGAAGTGAAAGGAGAAGTTCATGGAGGTAGGCCTAGGCCCACTGGGGCTGTAGTGCCAAGGAAAAAGAAAAGTGAGTTACATTCGTTTGTTTGGTTTAAGTTAAAAGTGGGGAATAGGGACTCCCGCGTTGTTGGAAACCCGCGGTGTTTCGGGAAATTTCGCGAGAAATAATGTTTTTAACAAATCTGATATCAAATTACAATAGAGATAATATTGTGTGTAGGTTTAAACGCACGCCTTATTTAATAGGTGTTCTTAAAAGAGTCCGATGTTTTATTCTGATGCCACAACCGATGGCGCTTCTTCGCCGCATAAGTTTTCCCTTTCGTGTACATAATAATATCCATAAAATCGGAAAGAAATTAAATAACTGTATGTACGAAGTAAGAGCAAGTGCTGTAATAACACACCCCGCTGCATTTCCAATGTGTCACACTGTTTCCAACACTGGAGGGCGTTCCCGTAGCTCCTGTACAGTACCATCGGTGATTCCTCAGCAAATCACCGATCGCGTGTCCCACTCAGAGGGACCGCTCAGACGCAGTCATTTGAGTGAAGTTGTTTATCAAGAAGAAAAAATCGCTGTAAAATTTCAAACTTGTTTACGAAGGAAATAAACGAAATAATTTTGGGAGACACGACTAGACCAGTGGTATATCCGAATCCGAAGTATAGTGAGGTTGGGAGATGGATGTATAAATCCACATTTTCTTGCCCTCAGCACTATCTGGAGGTGAGTGGTCAGCTTGACTCCCCGGCCGCTTTACCCCCGGTACCCATTGGATAGGAGGTTGAGTGGATCCCAGAGCCGGTCTCAAATGAAGTGGAGAAGAGAAAATTCTTGACCATACAGGGATTCGAACTCAGACCCCTCTGTCGTATAGCTAGTCCCTATATCGACTACGCTATCCCGGCTCCTATAGATATTTTTCCTCCTAAAGCCAATATTCAAAAACCGGATGCGTCCTAAATTATTACTTTCTGAGTAATACGGTGTGTATACATACTGTACATACATAGCAAGTTCCGTAAACGTTAGATTTATCTCAGCCATTACGCAAATTCGAGCTGCCACAGCAGCCAGGTGTCGGCGCTTAGCGAGTTGCATGGACATAGCAGGTCACGAAAGGACGAGGTGTTCTGTTCCAGTTCATCGTGTTCATTCTGTGGGTACTGACAATATTTTGATGTGCATGTGTGAAGTTCAGTAGACTCTATTAAGGAGACAATTTATTATCTATTAGTTTTATTCGTGGGAAATAACGTTATACCTCCGCCTCGACGCACTAACCGTTAACATGTAGGTTAAGAGAAGAATACGGAAGAAAGCACGAGAAGTTCACAATACGAAAGCTTATAAAGCAAATAATGAGAAGTTCGGCTGAGTTCCTGCATGGCGCATGTCGTCCGTTTGTGGCTTATTTAAAGATATTCTCCGTAGCTCAGAACATGAATGTCGAATGTTAAGATTATTAATCAAAGATTGGAATAGATGTAGAAGGAAGCGCGTGTGGATTATTTGAAGACGCTCTCCCGACATTCTCCTAGAAAAAATGAGGAAGATGACAAAGAACCTCAATTAGCAGAGGCGATATCCCGACAGAGAATCGAACCAGGGATTTTCCGAATATCAATCAGAGGTTTTAGAGCCTGAGCCAACCTGTTCGGTACATGTGCTGTCTGTCTTTACTTACATCGTTAGGTGTGTTTTCTTATAAATATTTCTGATATTGATTAATTTGTCCAAATCCATGTAGGGATAGCCCAAAACACAATTTCCTATTGATTATTTATTCACAGTACCTTTTTCCAAAACAAATCATGTTCCATCTTAACCCTTTGAAGCCAAGTTGTTACTATATGTACCTTCGGCTGTAAGGTATTAAAACTCTACAATCTGCCCCCCAGAATATGTTTGTTTCTTATGGTTCTCACAATAAACAGCGACTGTTTCCTTAAACAGAATTATCCGATTGGTCTTCATAGCGGAGACGTAACGTGTTTCCTGTGAGGTACAAACTGAATTTTTGTATAATATTTAGAAGAATTTGAGGTTAAGGAAGAGTCGGGATAGCTCATTATGTACGGCGACTTGCTACGGCTGGATGGTCTGAATTTCAATTCCGGTAGTGCAAGATTTTTCTTCTCCCCAGCCTTCAGACAGGCCCTGCGTCCCACGCAACCTCCTATCCACTTTTTACCTAGTCTCTTTCCCCGGGGGTAAAGCTGCAGGGGCTTGATGCTGACCACTCACTGCCATCTAGTGCCGAGGTTAAGAATGAACGAGCTACACCTTCAGTTCATATGTCTTCATGGTATAGTTTTTAACTAATAAAGCACAGGGACAAATTTACAATTTACCATTTTATGGACCCATTCACCTTCTACGCGCGGGTCTGTTTGGATGTACTGGTGAGTGGTTCCTATCTTGTAAGACTTCTTAGAAATGAAAAAGAAGAGACTCAGTAGTATATTGTGTTTTATGACTTGAGGTGTGTTTGGCAAAATGTTGCGAGGAAGAAATATGTCAGTAGTCAGGAACAGTATTGGGGAACTTTACAGAGGGCCGCCGTCCCATAAGTCCAATATCTGCAGAGGGGTTTCGCCTGAAAGAAGAGAGACATGTTACAGAGAAGAGCCATTTATCTCAGCGAGAACTCTTCAATAGCGGTTGAAGGGCCGAGAGAACCCAGTGCCTGGAGAAAAGTGATATCTTTTTGAGGGGGGGGGGCTGGAGTTATTATACGACACCGTCAGTGTCTACACCAGGGAGAGCGAACTATGGCTAGGGGGCCAGATCCGGTCCGCGAGATTTTTTCCCAAATTGCGGAGCTACTGCAAACATGTTCCTGTGATATTATTCAAAATTATTATCTCTTTTTTAAAACTAAATCTAAAGAACTTGTCAGCAGCTGCAAGCAGCGCCATCTCTCACACTAATGTGCCGGGTAATGGCAGTCACTCTTAGCAGTAGACGTTTCCGTTCCAGAAATACTGCGTTGATCTCTTTGCGGCCTGGTAAAATATTTTCAACCTGTAATTCTGCCCTTTGGCTAGAAGGTTTTCCCATAGGTCATATAGCGTCGGACGGTAATCTGATTGCTGAATCATGAACTAGAAGGGATTTGGATGGAAGCAGTCGTAGCCTGATGGGAGTATTGTCCCGGGATTTACCTTGAGGGAGTCTGGATAGCCGTTGTCCAGTCAGAGACTCTAACCTACGAGTAAGAAGCATTCCTGCAAGTCAATTTCCTCGGTAAAAATCTGATACGATCTTTGCATTACAGTTCATTATCGTTGTGTCTCAATATGTGTGAGACATACTTGTAACGTATATCTGATGATGACTAGGCAGAACGTCCATCCATACAATCGTCCGGCCCAATTGGCATGTCGTACAAATGAATAAAAGGGGTATTCCTCGTGGGGAGCTAAACCGGGGAATATTGCAAATTTTTATGTTACATGCATGGGTTTGAGTCCAAGTAAATTAAGTTTCCAATTCTTTCCTCCCGAAGGAAACACCGAGACCAGTGGGTACATAATCTTCATATAGTTTAAAATAACCATGGTGACGAAATTGTTTACACTTGATTATGGCAATATACAATTTCATTATTTGTTTTCATTTGTATTAATTGTGTACTTCGAGCAGTTACAAATGCTGTCCTGTAATTTTATGCGTGTGAAATTCCAAAGAGAGTCACACGGCTTTAGCGGAAGAATGCTGTTCCTTTACAGAGCCTGCCCCGCAAAAATTGTGTACTGAATACCACAATGTGATTTGTGTGACTTCAGATCAGTAGACATCGCGAAAAATTTCTGAAACTGCAGGAATGAATTTCTTCTCCGTGGCTGAGTACTACGAGTACTAACAAAATTGTGTACAACTTCAATAAAATTTCGTCTGGACGAGCATTTCGGAAAGCGCCCCTGACGGGTGTACTTAGGGGGGAGAAGGAACGGAGAGATGGGACCGTAACATGAGCGAGCATGAAGATTCCGCAGCTTATAATATTCTTTCGTGACATAAACCTGTTGAAAGCACTTGGTTTGGTAGCCTAAGTGATTTTGTGCCGGTCACAGTAGCCGCGCGGTCTATGGCATGAACAGTCTTCGCTCGCTCGGACGCTGGGATCGTGGGTTCGAATACCACTCAAAGCACGGATGTTTGGTGTGTGTGTGTGTGTGCGTTTATTCTGTCTTTGTGTTGTTCTGTGTTTAAGTAGCGACCTTGCGACGTGCTGCTCACTAGTCCAAGGAGTCCTACCGTATGTAAAAATGATTACAGAACTGCATAAGAGGCCTGTGCCCTGAACGGGCTAGAATAGGCATTGAAAACAAAAGTGTAGTAAACAGCCTCCGTAATAGGATGAGACCATTTGAAGGAGAAGTCTAGTTTACAAGGTCCTCCATTCCTTGTCGTTTTATCAGACTCAAAGTACCGAAGACATGAAACATGCGAGTCTGTGCCCAGTTGGATGGGGGGAGGGGACATTAATTGATTGAAATGACAAATGAAGCGCGGATATTAGGTTTCACTCGAGACCAATATGCATTTCTTGACATCTGGTATAAGCTACGGATCTCTGGCTCAGTCGTGGATGGGGAAATATTATTTTAGATACCGTACGAACTGCCGCTTGGCTCAGCTGTAAACACGTAAGAAATTATTCAGATGTACGAACTACAGATATGTGGCTCAAGTTAAGAGGAGGATGCACTGTTTGGGACTCCACATGAATTATAGTTGTGTGGCTCAAGTTACAGTGAGTGCGCACAGTTTGAGGCCCCACATTTTCTGTGGACGTTTGGCTCGAATTAGGACGAGAAATTGTTGCTTGTGATGCCACATGAACTATGCGTGTGTGGGTTGAGAAACCACGACGCTTTGCTCACCTGTGGCCGCTGAAGCGTTGCTTGAGATCCCAGCTAGACAGGCTTCCTCTTTCGACTTGAGCCATTTGAACTGTTCCTCAGGGCTCAACACATGAAGTCCGTCCTAGAAGAAAAGAAAACGCATTAGGAGTCTGTAATATAATCTGGCACCTTTGCTATCTCTCGCAATGGAAGCAAATTTATGATGTCACCATGGTATCGTGGATGTGTCTTTTGAAACAAATTATTAATTTTAAACATATTTAACTGAAAAGGAGTTGTGTGGGACTGGGGTCTTGACAATGCGGAGCCAAATGAGCTCATCGCACCTTCCACTGTTGTCATGAATGACAGGTGTATATCGAATATGAAAAAATGGCGATTGATTGGCTTTGCCATAGCTTAGGCAGTTTAGTCACAGGATTCCCACAGCTTTGACCTAGGTTCAATTCCGGGTCAGGTCACGTGGAATTTATGGTAGAAAGTGACAATGGGGCAGGTTTTCTCCGAGTATATTTGCCCTGCAAATTTTCATTCCACCGAATGTTCTTTATTCATTTATCATCCGAGGCTAGTATAGAAACTCCGACAGTGGCCGACGTACCAGGTGGACTCAGTCCCATCCAACCCCACGAATTAAAATTAAAATAGGAATTGATGAAATTCTGACAAAAATTGTGGGATTGAAACTCATCCTGAACCGTGACAGACAAACGGATCGTGATGGCAGTGGCATTAATTCCCACGAAATGTTTGCACTTTCTGTTCACTGGTGTTAGCATAACGGACCTGGGAGTTATGTCATATTCAGCGCTTTCCAGTGTACTGAGTCCGACAGTTGCTACAAATAATTAGTTTTACCTTACAGGCATTCAGGTGGTGGATATAGCTCAGTTGGAATAGGGACGGGTACGTGCTGTAAGGCTGAGAAATCGGTGTTCGGTTATCGGCAGGCTGAAATGACATTTCTCCTTTTCAGAACGTCCAGCCTGTCCAGTCTTCTGTCCAGAGAGAACCAGGTCTTCTTTCTCTGGGGGAAAGCGACTGGGTCGTGAAACTGACCAATCATCTCCATCTGTTCCCGTGGTCAAGAATGCCGGGAGCTATATCGTCTCCTTCCCATATGCTTCCTTGGCACTAAGCTTGAACATGGCCGCGCCATAGTTCAAGCGGTTAGTCGCTGGCTTCCCACCGCGGCGGCCCGGGTTCGATCCCGGGTCTGATCAAGTGGGATTTGTGGTGGACAAAGTGGCGCTGGGGCAGGTTTTCTCCGAGTACTTCGGTTTCCCCTGCCAATCTTCATTCCACCAGTTGCTCCACAATCACCCTCACCTATCATCTGGGGCTGGTACAATAGGCCAAAGTGGCCGCAGTACAAGGGGCTTAGTCCCACCCCACTAGCAATAACAAAACTTTACAAATGCACGTACAAACAGGCACCAAGCACAAGACAAGACTTTTCATAACAGCCGGAATGAGTAGGCGAAGCCCGCCAAACTGAACTCAGACGTTCTTCGCGCCGAAGGATATTACGTGTAGATGTTAATGTAGGCAGTTGCTTGTATTGCCAGCTCTCGCGTTATTGTATGCTCGCAGTTATGCATTCATACTATTGTTATTAATGTTATCATTTTTCTGTAGTTGCTGCTCCTTTTCAGTTTTTGATCGGACCCGATATTACATTTGGAGACCATTTTAATTCAGGTCGTAAATATTCTAATGTCACAATATTCCAATAAATTTTTGTAAAATAATGAATCTGTGGTAAATGTCTCCCCATTCAAGTTTTGTTACAGTACCGCCAATACGTTTCTTGCAACGCATAATTTTCTTGTATGTCCGAATTTCGCAGCCTATAAACAATAAAACGTATGACCATCCGGTCTGCGCAGACTCAGACATTTTGGGAGAACATATCGCCTTCATATTCAGTGTGAACGGTCATAAGCTTAACCACTGCCAAGTTCAAGCTTCTTGTATTTTTCTATTTCTGGCTTCGCCTTCATATGCAGGAAATACCTCCCAGTAACACACCAACGGAATGTACTGTTTTCGCTCGCTTGGAAACCGGGATCGTGGGTTCGAATCCCACTCAGGGCACGGACGTTTAGTTTGTGTGTGTGCGGTTTTATGTGTTTGTGTACAGGTAGAGGGCTTGCGACGAGCTGATCACCCGCCCAAGGAGTCCTACCGTATGTCTAAGAACTACTAAACCGAAGTGAAACGGAGAAGTTCACGGAGGTAGGCCTAGGCCCACTGGGGCTGTAGTGCTAAGGGGAAAAAACACACCAACTCCACGAAAGAAAGAACCTGCCCCTGCGTTCTAAGGAACCGAAATATTCCAAATGGTTTTGTATTGCACTCGGGTTTACTAAGTTTCTGGATTTTTTTTTTCCATCCAATGATCTAAAAGTATGGACTGTCTTCAAATTATTCTTGCTCGGGACGAATGACTAACATCACTTTTCAAACAGTCTCGAAGTACTGAATTTTTCTCGCGAGGCTCTCCAGCTCGCAGTAACTTCGAAATAGCCCCACTCGGCCCCCAGAATAAAGACAATTGTCCACGTCTGTACATAACGCCGACGGAGGGGACTAGACAGGCATCCTCCACAAAGAACAAAACTGAGAAAAGAAAATCCACTAAAATATCAATAGCAACAATTAAAATTATATCTAAGAATGGCCAAATTTGTGTATTAACATAGAGACCCACATATTTTAGGGCGATCCGTAAATATTCTGTAATGGGTTACACGGCAGCTTGTACGAACTTTTTTGCTTCCCTCCCCTCCCCTCCTCCCATTGCAATATAGCCTGGCTACGCTCACGCCACTATATTGCCAACTTCTGGCATGGATACAGTTTCGAGCTCAGATCGCACACAAGAATGGGGACGAGAGTTTCCGCATAGAACAGCAAATGTTTATACAGTTAATGAAGTTCCTACCCAATATCCAAAGACGTTAAATACCCACAAAGTTAAATAATAGTAGATTAACATCCCCTTTGGTAAAATATGCTCATACGAATTACTCACGCTGCATGAACAAGCAAATACGTCGTTACTCTTGTTGGTAGCTAACAAGGAAAATCTGCGAGTGAGGTATACAGATATGTTCTAAGCAAATTCTTCTATACGTGTATGGAGGAAACTCAGTTAATTTCGTCTGATCCCACGCTACTAAGAGCGTTTAGACCAGTCCAAGTGAATAATTTGAATAACTGGCTTTAGAGGGAGTTACGTTGTCAATATACGGACAAATCTGTTTGGTCGGTACGTCAGTATACCAAGAGGGAGATCGCTGAATTACGGAAGAGTTGCAAATTATACTGTTTTTTCTTACAAGCATTTAAGGTGATTTTGCTAGTGTGGTGACATACCTTGATCTATTTCATATTGTGTGCATGGCTTCATTGAATATGACTCCTTTTTTAACAACATATATTTTACATTCTCAAATACAGTCTCAGTAGGCATTTCAGATACTGAAGTAAGTAAAAGTAAAGGTGTCCTTGTAACAGGCCGTGGAGGCCCATAGGGTTGTGAGATGTTGAGGTTCCCACATTTTCTAACAATCGGCTCATAGATAGTGGCAAGGTTGTTAGCCCTACGCGCCGGCCGGCCTTTACCCCCAAGAACATTCCATGAATATTCCTGGTACTCATTTCTGTTAGAGGCTGAATCGACCCCAGTGCCATAGTGCAGCTGGAAGGATTAGGTCAATTGAAAAAATTCCAATGACCACATCGGGACTTGAACCCGCGACCTTCCGGCTTGTAGCATAGTGCCTCAACAATACTGAAGTAAGGTTCTTAAATTTTTAACTTGGATGCCACTTTCAAAGGTTGCAAAACAATAAGTGCATATGTGTGACTGCTGAATGTTGACATGNGAAGGTTCAGGAAAACCAGGTTTGACAGAAATTAAATAGGACACGCCAACTTCTGGTATATACTGATGATAAGAATATATTTGGAGGTAACATAAATTCCATGACGAAAATCACACAACTTCTAATTGATCCTAGTAAGGAGCCTGGTCTAGAAGTAAACGCAGGGAAAACTAAGTATATGTTCTTTCTCGTCACCAAAATGAAGGGCAAAATCACAATACAAAAAAGCTAGTAGGTCATTTGAAAAAGTGGCAAAGTTACAGTATGTGGAAACGACAGTAACAAATCAAAGTTGATCCATGAGGTAATTCAGAGCAGTTCCATTTCGGACAAACGTTCCTACAATTCAGTGCACAACTTTTTATCTTCTCGTCTCTCGTCTAAAAGCATAACAATTAGAATATGAAAAAGTACAGTTTCTCCTGTAGTTTGCTATGATTGTGA